TGTGTGTGTGTGTGTGTGTGTGTGTGTGTGTGTGTGTGTGTGTCGAGTGGGCAGAGAGATATAGAAGATGCAGCTGTACAGAAGAGAGGTGTTTGTAGGAGAGCTGTATGGAAGGAAGTATGTGGCTGTGTGGAGAACGTAACTGTGTGACAATAGGTGTAGCTATAGACGTGTGTGACTGTGTAAAGGGCAGACGTCTCTGGGGAGAGAGATATGTAAGCGTAGAGACATAACCGAGTAGAGAGACTGTCAAGAAAGATTATACAAGTGGAAGTAAAAGAGGAACCATCAGGAAAGTTCGTGCTTGTTCCTTTTTCCCTAAGTTACCATCAGAAAACTTGTGTTTCCTTATTTACCCCCAGAAAAAGGGTAAATAGCCTGTGTGTGTGTGTTTTGTTTTTGTTTTGGGGTTTTTTTTTTTTGCATATTCTGGAGGTGGCCTTGGAGGCTAATCTCTGAAAGGCTGCTGGCGCTGTCGTCGGGTTTTATTAAAAGAGAAGTAAGGGATGTTACCCAGGCAGGCCCAAGAAGAGCCTGCTCTCTGTGTGTATCTCAGACTTCTAAGGCAGCAGTTTAGCTTCTATTGGTGCTGGTTAGTTAAGCTGACATTTCTGCTGTGGCTTCTCAGGCCTTTAAGGACCTCAACCGGGCAATGCCCATGAGCTCAGAACATTGTAAAACTCGGGATGAGGTCCAAGATCAGGTCACAGCCCTGTGCACACGTCCGTTTCCTGATAGATCAACCATTCCACTCCGATCTCGTTAGATGTCACCATAAGCAGAAATAGGAATGACCATGTAGGCCTCTGCTCCATTCCTTTTTTATAATTTCCTGTGGATCTAAAGTTATTTTTAGATGTTTTTAACATTATAGCGCTGACAGCAGCAGCTAATTACTGTTTGCTGAATGCTGGGCCTCCTTACATGAGGCTTACAGATGCTTATCCTCACAAGGCCCCTGAGCTGGGTCAGGGTGGTGGGAGCGGTTGTCATTGTTGCCCCCATTTCTCAGTTGGGGAAATTGAAGCACACAACTTCAGTTATCTGTCAAGAGGTTACTAGATGTTTAAGTAGTCGACCTGAATCTACATAAACTAATCTTAGAGGCCAGATCTTGATCACTGCTATTCAGTGTGCTCATGCAGGGTGAGCTAAGAATTGAGGATGATTTCTCAAGTCTTAGCCCCACCCACCCTACCCCACCCCCACCCACCTAGGCTCTCTGGCAATCAGTACACAGACTGCAAGCCTGTGAATTCTTACCCACTGAACTCAGCAGTATGGGTCAAACATATACTAGGCAATCTCTCTACTACTACTGACCTTTTATGTCATCATCACCCCAAAGTGACAACAAAATCATCCTCTCCGTGTGTCTTACCCTGCTTCTGTAACCCTAATGCCCTAATGTCATTGTCCTCAGAATGCTCTGGGTGTCTTTGTTTGTTTGTTTTTCAAGACAGGGTTTCTCTGTGTAGCGTTGGAAGCTGTCCTGGCACTCACTCTGTAAACCAGGCTGGCCTCGAATTCACAGAAGATCTGCCTGTCTCTGCCTCCCGAGTGCTGGGATTAAAGGTGTGCGCCATCAACGCCCGGCCCTGAGTATCTCTTAGCAGTGGGAGATTTGTTGGTTCTTTTCCAATGGCCATTCCTGACCTCTTTTATTTTATTCAGATATGTGGCCACGCCCTTCTAGACAGGACATGCCTTCCAGAAGCCACCGCGTAACTCCACTGTGTGGTGGCACCTTGCCAGCACACCTGAACTCTGCCTGTTGAGAGGTTGTGAGAAAGCCTTATTAAGGACTCTACTCAGGTACCTCCCAGCTTCTCAGTCTGTCATCATCAGATTGCTTAGAAATCCTCCAACTGTCCTGGAACTGTCAAGGAATTCTGCTTTTTAAAACATTGTCAAAATATTAGAAGTGTCAAATGAGGAAAATGGAGAGAAGCCAAGTCCTTCCATTTTCCAGACACTGAGCTAAGCCTGAGCCTCTGCTTTTCTAATTGTTGGCCCATTCGGCGTTTAGTTGGGCTCCTCCTTAAGCTGAAGGCATCTTTAACCCCCAGGATCCCATCTTAAGTGCAGTGGCTAGTGCACACACCTGTGGTTCAACCTGCACAAAGTTCCAGGGACCTCAGTCTGTAGGGCAGACACTCCTGGACTCAGAAGACAAATGCTGCTCTTACGGGTTGGGTTGCAGGCGCTCACCAGGTAATGTGTTTATTGACCTTCTCTCGGGATTATTGTCTTGTCCTTAAATCATCTGATAAAAACTACAATCAAATCGTTACACTTGTGCACATGTATTAAAATGTTGTACTGGCCAGGCAGTGGTGGCACACGCCTTTAATCCCAGCACTCCAGAGGCAGAGACAGGCGGGTCTCTGTGAGTTCAAGCCCAGCCTGGTCTACAAGAGCTAGTTCCAGGACAGCCTCCAAAGCCACAGAGAAACCCTGTCTCAAAAAAAAAAAAAAAAAAAAAAAAAAATTGGGTGGCTGCAGAGGTGGCTCAGTAGCTGAGAGCACTGGCTGGCTGACTGTTCTTCCAGAGGTCCTAGGTTCAATTCCCAGCACCTACATGGCAGCTCATAACTGTAACTCCTGTTCCAAGGGATCCAAAGCCCTCATACAGACATACATGTACGCAAAACACTGTTATACATAAAATAAAAATGAATTATCAAAAAATTAACCTGGAACCTAGCTCAAAATAGATTCTAAACCATAAATACAAATATGACATCTAAAACTAAAGTCCTGACTAGAAAACTAATCCCTTGGAACCTCCTAAAGTAGATTACAGGATTAAAGAGTAATTTTTGCAATAGCCAAAGAAGGTGGCCTCCAGGTTATTCACCAGCCAGCCCCCGTTTTTGTGTTTTGTTTTTTGTTTTTTTGCGTATTGATGTCTTTGATGTCCTTTCTCCTGTGTTGACCTGTCTTATAAAAAAAAAAAAAATGGTTTTTTAAAAAAAAAAAAAAAAAAAAAAAAAAAAAAAAAAGCCGAATACCAAGATCTGGTGGTCACCCACGCATCCGAGCATCTCCGTTGGCTTTATAATCTCCCATCAGCCGTACCGTCTGCCTGGCGCTTTTTAAACGTACGAGTATTTCTTAATCATCTGTACAGCTTGTCCACAATCCGGGCTGCTGCAGTGTGAGCCCAAGCTCAAAATACGATGAGGCTCAACTTTACAAAGCCTTTCTCGGCTTCATCCCCATGTAGCAGAGAGCAGGGAAGCCCTGGCATACTTTCTGTGCTCTGGCGCCAAGACATCACCTGAGCGACACAACCAAGCTCTTCTCTAAGCTAACGTTACCTCCGAGAAAGGTGATGTCGGGTGCACCGTGAACCTGAATTTCTGCTCCTTTCCGGTTTCGAGTCAAAGCTTCACCAGTCCGGTCCTGCGGGCTTGGTTTGGCTGCTGCAGTAACGCAAGGATTCCACTGGGAGGAGGCAGAGCACCAATGATGGTATCGCAAGCTTGCCTCCTTCGACTTAATTCTAAATTAGAATCTTGAAGGTTTTGCGCAGCTTGTAAAGTGAATTCGTAATTGAAACTCACTGTTGAGTATTACAGACAATCAATGAGAGGAACATGCAGATTTTTTATTGTACCCTAGATTTTAGCATTAATTTTAACGAATAAATTCCACTTGGAACGTGGGGAAGATTTCCTAATACAGGATAGAAGATTTTTTGATATAAAGAAATTCAGGCCAGCCTGGTTTACAGAGCAAGTTCCAGAACAGCCAGGATGACAGAGAGAAACCCTGTCTCAAAAAGAAAGGAAGGAAGGAAGGAAGAAGGAAGAAACTCTAGAAGTAAACAGTATACAATAATCTTAAAGGTAATTCTTGCAGCAGAGCATATTTTTTCTGCTAAGTACTATTTAAAGAAGACAACTTTTTTTTGGTTTGGTGTGTGTGTGTGTGTGTGTGTGTGTGTGTGTGTGTGTGTGTGTGTGTTTGCTTGCTTGTTGTTACCACCCAGGGGCTGGCCACGCACAGCCCAGAAGGACCTCAGACTTCCTGGTGACTTCCCAAGAGCAGGTAGATGAGTTTGTGTGGGGCAATGCCCGGGTCAAACTCTATATCCTGCATATTATTACTAAATGAACCTGGCATTTGTTTGTTTTTTCTTCCCTTGCTTTTCTGGTGTGTGTGTGTGTGTGTGTGTGTGTGTGTGGG